GTGTGAGGTCTAGCGTTATCATGATGAAAAACCACGCCCCTTAAACGGGCAGAATTGATTAATTCTGGCCGTTATCTCTCAACTTCATGCTTTAATGTCATCCGTTGTTCGCGGTAGAGATTAAAATCGATGGTCCTGCCTGGCGGTAACAGCTCATACTGAATAATGCCCTTCCAATCCCTCCATACACACAGCATCACCTTGTTGCGAGTTAACCCGGGTTTCGTCACATTCTGTGAAGCCTGACCGACCTTTGACCACGACCTTTTTCGCACGTTCTTGTCGTACGTGATCTACTTTTCATCACCAGTTATCAGCTTCTTCAAAAATGGTTCGGTTTTATTACGCCGTAATAAACAATAATAAAATTAGTACACGGTTCTCTAGGTTTTTTCAGTGAGCTTGTGATATACGTTAAAATACGCAAAATATGACATGTTACTACTATGACATGGGTAACCCCAAATATCCAACTTGGGAGTTTTTGTGTACCTGTCTAGCTTTTTTCAAATGCCCCAAAACTGTTTTGTGGTCAATCCCGAAGGATGAAGAACGAATTCTTCAGTTACGTCGTAACTGATATGCTGATCTTGATCCACTTTTCAAAAATCCATTTTATCCATAACAGGGCGATCGGAGCGAGACGTGCATCTTTGACATCAAAATTTTTCGGACTGCAAACGCTTAAACCAAATTTCTGCTACTTTCACAGATAACTGCACTAGGTTCATAAATGTTAACAAATCTTTTCGCGGCTTGCGTTGCATTCTCTCATTTTGACACTAAGAAAATCAAGTGAAAATCACATATTTTCTTAATTTGAATTCGGAGTTATCTTCTTTAAAATTTAACCTTTTTCAATGATGCCGAAAGCAGCCAGATACAAATGGTATAGCCAGAAAGATTTTATTACAGGTTTATGCATACTATATGCAAAAAGAATTTTTCACCAACCTAATACATATATACAACTATAGAATTTTGCACACGTGTTTGAGTCTGTATAGAAAGACCAACATATATGAATAGTACACCATTCCAACGAAAATACATATATGACCTCGAGTTGATAACCACCTTTTTTGGAAGTCGGTTACTGGTCGTTCGGTGGTCGAAATTCGATTATAAACTTTGAAAATTATTACGGCTTACTTGGAAGAGATATGGCACCTATTTAATGCCAAGTTGCACAAACGCCCATTATAGTTTAATAACAACTTAAATGTTCTAAATTAGAAATTTTATATCGGTAATGTTATTTAATTAATCACAATATTAATTGATTAATTTTTTTTAATTAAATAAATAAAAAAAGCATTCAACTTAAAAATAAATAATATATTTATAAAAATACATTTCACTACAAAGAAAAGGCATAGTTAACCAAATATGATTTTTATTGTTAATATTTCATGGTCATTGTTACAACGGGCAAATTTGTCTGATTGTGCCTTTTTAATGAAAATTGACTTAATGTTCTCTACAAAAAAAAAAAGAAACAGTTAATTAAAGCATAACAAATTTTCTTCTAGGACTCCAACATTTAAACAAAACAAAAAAATCTTTCTTAATATTCAAAAGTTATTTATAAATTACAAAATAAATTATTAGGGATAAGCATCTACCTACAATTTTGGTTTATTAAAAATAGAACTTATGAATTAGAAACAAAAAGTGCAAACTTAAATTCAATTACAATTTTTAGTTAATTTTTTTTTCTTTTTGCTAATAGGTTGGTCCCTTAACCTAATAATCTATAAAAAAATATTTGCTATAAATCACAGTATGGAAAATAAATCTAAATATTATATATTAACAGGAGCATACATTTTGGTTTTGAACCTTTAATAAGTTTCTTTATAAGAGCTTATTCTAATTATGTATTGTAAATTTAGTTACAGGAAATATCATATACCCTTAATTATTAAAGGCACTCGTAGTTTAAAATTTTTTGAGCCATCTCTTTATATTATGTTGTAGATGTGCTTTTTCAAGTAGTTTTTAGCAAAAATCTGTATGAAGTAAATTTACATCTACGTATTTGTGCCTTTTCAATATAATGGTAAATAAATGTGCCTTTTCATTCTGTAAAATATTTATTATTAAAATATAAATATTAGTCTTATTTGTGCCTTTTAGGCCCACTGTATCAACGAATTCCTTGAAGATAAAATTCTACAAAAATTTAGCACATGCGCCTTTTTTTTAATTCTTAATATGTATATAATTCAATTTTGAAAAATATGTTAGTTGTGCCCTTCTCTCATGCGACGGCAGAATTATTTTTTGTTCTATTGAAGTAAGTTACGTAAAAAATTTCTACCTAATATAAAACTTGTTGCTGATTTTAATGATTACTAAAACTTCCGTATCTTTCGTAGAATGGATATCATTTAAAAAGAAAATTATTATTGTGAAGATCTCCATAGCAGATGAATGATGTTTTGGTACCTTTTTGTTTTGGATTTCCGTAATACGAATGCTAAACTAAAAGTTGACTTATTTTTAGATTTGGGCATTGTTTTGGTTTACTTATTTTGATGATATTACCTTATATTTATTTATCATTTCAACCTGTGATTTCAACTTAATTTATTATTGATGATGTAGTAGAACACAAAAGAGTATTATATAAAAATAACTCTCTATTGAATCCATGATTGAATTGTATGTTATTTTGCATAATTGTTACTAACACAATATGGAAGTCGATCCGATCTGAAATAAATTTTATTATTATTATACACTGGACAGCAAAACTAAGTATCACACTTTTAAAATGGCAATAACTTTTTAAGTACACAAGATACACTATCGAAATAAAAAGGACTCGAAAAAGAATTCAATTTAGTAAAATAAAGCAAATAAAGCTGATAAAATTTACTATAACATGGTATTTACTTTAAATCACTAAACTTATATAGATTACAAAAAAAAAATAGGTTTCAAAAGTGTGATACATACTTTTGCAGGTCAGTGTAGTATAGTATACTAGATACAGATACAGTATAGACCAAGATAATAATACCAGAGTGTAAATTAAGAAATCACCATGGAAGGTGACAGAAACTAGAAAGTAAATGAATTCAATAGAGCTTTTTTTTGTTTCTTTCGTTTGTTACATTGAATCTTTTCATCAGGACATTAGAATTGCGAGTATCGAATAATGGCACACGAGTTTTATTTCAATCACACTTACACTATAAATTAAAGCTGTGTCTGAAATTCGATGTTCGGTTATTTTGTCGTAAATTACCTCTGTCAGTGTCCAATAACTACTTTTGATAAATTATAGGCATCTATCGGCATCTAATTCAAATACAAATTCATTTATTCGGCGCATGCACATGGGACACTAAAATATAATAATTAACCACATGACTATATATTAGAATAAATTTGAAATTAAACGTACAATTACAAACAATATTCAACATTATTCAATATTATTTACTAGTTGATTCAATGACAACTTTTTAAAAAATGACAATAGTAAAAAAATAAGCAAGTTGAAAAACTTGACATATAAATTTAATATTTTGTTATCATATTTGATCAATTTCTCATTCACAATGCTATACTGGAAAATATTCTTGATGAAAACTGCTTAAAAAATTCGCTTTGTCCCTGGTACTCTGAGATGATTTGAACCCACGACCTTTCGCAATCCGGGCGACTGCTCTAACCACTGAGCTACCTAGGGCCGAATAGCTCTGACGAATTTTTTAAGCACTTGTTACTTTTTCGCTACTTAAGAGCGTATTTATTTTCATCAATGTTTAGGCAAGTTTTGTTTTAAACTTTCATGGTTAATTTCATTAACATTTTTGACGATATACTTAGGCACTTGCCTAGTTGATTAGGCCCTGATTTAGAACTTGAGTAATGCCTGCTAGAATCGCGATGATATTGGCAAGGTTCACTTGCCAGTTCGCTTTGTTTAATCGTCTCTACTGCTCATTTGTGACAATTCTATTTTTCTCCAGAAAATTGCCACTTTTTTAGAGGAAAAAGCCACAGCACCAAGTTTATTTTTGACGATTTATTTTATTTATTCAATCGAAACTACAATCAGGGGGAGAATTGTACGTATTCGATTTGATTCGTTTCCATAGGGAAGGCTTGAGTCCTTGCAGTTAGAGTGATGATATTAAAAATAAATAAATTGGTCTAGTATTTTATAAGTGTTATGTGTTGTTTTTTTTTAACGATATTTGTTTTTAAGTACTACATAGCCATATTATTTGAGACTTTGCCCGAATGATATTATTTTGTTAATAATGATTTAAAAAAAATAATTAATTATTGATTAACTTTTATGTCGAATGTTATTTCAGTCTCATACAAAATAATTAAAATTAGATTATTATGCACCTATTATAATATTAAACTACTAGTTATATATATTATTAAAATAAAGTTATTTGTAATTTGAATTGTAATTATCGTATTTTACTCGTATTTGTATTATATCGTGTATTGTGTAAAAAAAATAAATAAGTTTATTCTTATTAAATTTATGTTGAAAGGACTATTGATATTTAAAAAAGTAGACTAATGTCATTGCTCAGACCATATTATATTAAAATATGTATATCAGAAGTATTGAAAATAATGTTCTATAATGTAAAAAATATGTAATGCTGAAAAAACGAATACATAACAAAACAGCATTTTCTTAAAAATAAAAGCCATAACATACAAATAATACTAGGCCATAGGTCAATAAAATTCTTATGGTCGCAGAATTATGTAAATACAACAATATATTGATATAATTAACAAATAAAAACAAAACTTGGGTTTATTTAGCTTTGACGAATAAGATACGCACAGCATAATTGATTATATTATTACTTAGATGTGATTAGTATTTCTTAGAAAAGTTGCAGATGGGGTAAGAAGATAAACAATTAATCTACACAAGATTGCAGAAATACTCGAAATAGGTACACTCAAACGTAGTATGAAATGTGCTTGGTTTGCATAGTACAGTCAGATTACGCCTCGGCTTCCATGATAAATTCAGCGATGAGCATTTCCATAGCTGGTGCTATACCATTCTTTACGCAGTTGTTCTTGAAGCACTCGGCGACGTGTAATATGCGCCAGCAGTGGTCTTCCTCATGTTCGAATAGCTTTTCGCATTTATGGATCTCTTGCACCAGTTGCTTCGCTAGCTTCTCACCTAATTATCAAGAAGAATAAATATTAAGATGAAGCGCCGCTTTCAACCGAACAAGGCTGTCAATAATCTCTCTAGCGTAGGAGGAGCGTCAAGAAGTTGTTATAAATACCACATGTAGTAAGTGACGGATTTTCCCCAAGGTTACAGTACTCCCGGGCCTAATTCGATCAGGTATTCGCAGCGATCAATAATTGACATAAAAGCGTTTGTGCCAAAAGCTGAGTAATAAAAATAGTGACTTATTGTTACTCTGTAACTGTGTTAGATTCAATGTAAAAACAACACGGCCTAGGGCGTCCAAGCCTGCATGTCCACTTGTGGGTGTAGTTTGGACTCACCATTAGGGAATGAATTGATGAATTTCTCTGTGTTTTCGTGATGCATGCGGTTGGATTCGGTGAGCAGGTTGAAGTATCGACTCATGCATTGGATCGCGCACCCTAGCTCCCGGTGTACGAACTTGAAGTCCTCATTCCAGAAGTGGAAAAATTCTTCCATCTTCTCTTCTGTCAATCCGCTCTGCGGAACAATATGATAATATATGTAATGGAAAATAATATTATCAAACGTTAATAGATAAAAGTAACTTATGAATAAATAAGTAGGATGCTATTAATATATTATTAATATATCTCAAAATAAAAGATATATATTTGTTTATATAAGGTGTAATATTATTATATACCGGACTTCGTGGAGAGAATTAGTTAAGCACACTGAAAAACTTTTACTACGGGTGCAACACTGAAATCACGAAAAAATTATCATCTGTTTCATACAAAATTGTCAATCGTTGACAGAATGAAACAGCTGATTATTTTTTATAATCAAAGTTGTTCTGTTTGTTAACTAATCCACCCCACGAAGTTTTAATAGGAACAATATATGGTAGATGGTTTTCTCTGTAACTAAGCACTTTTTAAAATGTAGACTTTAGTTAATATTTAAACGAATGCATATAAGCATAATGATAATTAAAGTTAAGCGAGTTTTGTTTATCCAAATAAATAGTGAAAATAATTGAATATTTTTTTTATGTATAAATCATAAAAAAGAAGAAAAGAGGGCGCGTTCAAAAAAATAACACTCAAATGAGCTATAATTAAAAATCAGAAAACTTCATTAAACAAGTTAATTGAATACCATTCCTGTCTCATAATCTGCCGTCCTTCTGTTCCCATCTATCTCATAGCCAGGCATAACGAAATAGACAGAGATAGGCCAGGAGCATATCCTTTAAGAGGTTGTTTAGTTCAAGAGTTTACAATAGTGGAACATTTTTTTCAAAACAGACATATAAATATAGACATGTATATAGCACGTTATGGACATGTAATAATATTATTCACACAGTCAGAAATACCTCTTCTCTGCAGTGGTTTAATGCAGCTCCGAAGCCAAGAGTGACGTCCTTCATGATAACCATATCTGCCCTCCTGTGGGGCACCAGTCCCGCCATCAGCAGCCCCACTAGAAACACCTTCGCTGTTTCCATTTCCAACGTTTAATGCTTTAGAGGCCAGCGTCTACGCTTATATTTCTCATTTAATAACCACTCTTGTTTTAATGCTAGTCCCTCAAAGGCCGGCACATTTTTCTTGTTTGCATTGTAACCTAATTGCAGCGGGACACAGTCTAACATTAGCTCATGCTCATATGATAATTTCCTATCTTTATACAATGTAACAAGTTTAATTGAAACATGATGAGCGACAGTTTGTTGTTAATGTGACACTTTAATATGCAGTTGTTAATAATGTAACATTGTAGATATCAAACTACTAAGTTAATTTATTTCATTTAGAGTTATGCAGTTTTGAAAACGTCTTCATTACAATTTTACATTTAATCATTTACAGTTTTTAACGGTGTTAAAACTCAAGTGATTTTCAATTTATTCTGTGCCCTAAACTATAAATGTGGATCAATGTTTAGCATTGTAAAACTTATCGATGCTCGCGTCGAATAATCAGGTAATGGCAAATAGGATATTGATTTCATATTTGAAAGAACACTTACACCATAATTTGTTTCGACATAACAGGTATTATAATATTTACAGCAATCGAATGATTGTAATTTGTAATTTCACTATTCATACTGAAGAATAATATTTTTACAATATTTAAATAGTATAAAACTTTTAAACTACACAACGGATTTTTAATGTGGTTTATATCAATATACAGAGTGATTCAAGATGAAATTTTATTTGTACATATAATACGGGACCACGCGGCTGAAGCCGCTGGTCGAAACGACATTCTGGGGAAAGACCGCCTGAATCTTCCTCTACGCTACTCTTACATTTTATTGATTTTATCTATGAATATGCTTATACTATTTTATAATGTTCTTATTTTATTATTTATTATTAGCAACTCTGAAGTAGTCCCGATATAAAATAAAGTATAATAATAATACTATCCCTCATATACTATACACACATCACATAGCATTCACACATACACGACATAAACATAAATATAGTCAAATGTATACATATACCTAAACAGCATTCTATAAAATGCCGGAAAAACTGTTTGTTCTAAATACTTTTATTGGAAATCGTAATAATCTCTTCCACAGGCCAGGCGTTGCCTAGTGTGGGGGCCAGTGTGAATAAAATTGTAATAGTTTCTGGAAATAAACATTTTTCATTTTCATATATTTATTTTAACAATGGAATTGGTTGTTATAGTTTTCTGAATTAAATGAAGTTCACTAATTTAAAAAACTGGTTTAGTGCAATTCGGACTCGCGCACGAAGGGTTCCATATCATTATCCGTTTAAAAAGTAAAAAAACAAATCTGTTTTTTTATGGAGTTGTTCGAAATTTTCGAGTAAAATTTTAATTAGTCGACTATTACTCGCAAATATGTAAAGCCAACTTAAGTATGATAGCTTATCGTTTAACTTTGTTATAGGTAAATAGGTACTACTCCGTAACGTTCGTATTCTTAGTAACGACACTCTAATGAAAACTAGTTCCTTAAAGCTTAATAAGTTACAAACAGTTTACTAAATTAAGAACGGCCTTCTAAACCCCAAATGTTTTTGAAAGACCTATCCAACGATGCTCCACACAATAGGGAAGACGAAAAAAAATCATCAATATCATCCCAATTTTACATGGAGGTGTACGAAATTTTTTTTTTTTAATTGGATAGGGTGCAGTCGAGCAGACGAATCACCTGATGGTAAGTGATTACCGTCGCCCACGGACACCTGCAATACTAGAGAGGCTACAAGCGCGCTGCCGGCCTTTGAGGGACGAATATGTTCTACGCTTGAAAGTCGTATCGGTCCGGAAATACCACTGGCGACAAACTGTTCCAGAGTTTGACTGTGCGAGGCAGGAAACTTCTAGAAAAACGCACAGTTGAGGACTTCCAACCATCCAAATGATGGGCGTGAATTTCTTGTCGCGTGGAACGATGGCGGAAAGTAGCGGCAGATATGAGTCCGAACAATTCCTCGGAGCATTCCCCGTAGTAAATGCGATAGAAGATGCACAGCGAAGCAATATATCTACGCAGGGCCAATGGATCAAGCCGACTTGAAGTCGCTCTCCGCCGAATGCGGTCTAGAGGGAGAAGCTGGTATTGGGGTGCCCCTACCCAAAGATGAGAACAGTATTCCATATGGGGCCGAACTTGCGCCTTGTAAAGCTGCAGGTGATATGCTGGAGTGTAATACTGCCTCGATCTATTAATCTCACCAAGCTTATTAGATGCTTATTTAGCCTTACTAAGTGACCACGGAACTAGACCTCGCTTGATATGTCGACACCAAGAATCTTAATATTGGCTGAGGCAGTTAGGGGAATGTTTTGAAAGCGAACTGATATGACAAATTTTTGGCGGTGAACTCGCAAACTTGTGTCTTAATAACCCTATTAATTTGGTCCATTTGAACCCTCAAATGGACCAAATTAAGTCGACCTCAGTTAGAGACTTCCTCTAACGAATATTCAATATCAGACACAAGTTGATTCCGGCTCTCAATGACGCTTTCCCGAGATATATTTGCACGAACGTTATAGGTGGAGGGAGTCCATCGTGCTGTCATCTGCATAACAATGAATACCGCTAATTTGCAGCATGTTATTAATATGCAGAAGAAAAAGTGTAGGTGATAGCACACATCCTTGGGGAACACCAGCATTTATCGACAGTAGGTCTGAGCATTCGGTTAAAACCTTAATGCTTCTGTCTGCTAAAAAAAAACTAGTGACACATGCACTCAACTTCTCGGGAAGCCCATACGAAGGAAGTTTTGATAGAAGGGAATTCATTTTGTCGTTGTTATTACCGCGTATACTCATGCCAAATTACAACTTTATAGTACTAATAGTTATTGAGTTAAACCGCGGACGGACGGACATAGTGAAACTATAAGGGTTTCTTGTTTACTACGGAACCTTAAAAAGTGGAATTTTAATTGATGGATATAAAAAAACCACTTTTTCACTCTTTTGCACTCTGAGATTGGACTCGAACTTTTGCATACTTGCATGACCTTTCGCATAGCGTATAGCATTGTGAATATAAATTGATCAAATATAATAACAAACAAAATCCTCTAATCTCGCCTTGGACATTCCTCGTCATTCTACCGACTTTTTCTCTTACTCCTTCTCTGTACTTGCTGTGCGGTTATGGAACTCACTTCCAGAAGATATCAGGAAATCTTGCTCAGTAAGTTCTTTTAGTGATAGAGTTACAAGGCATTTCCTTTCCTTATCTTAATTCTGACTTCCATAACACAATGTCTTCCATAGGTTGCCTGGGAGAAATTGCTGCTTAGCAACAAGACCGCCTTTTGTATACTTTTTTATATTTTTTATTCTCTGTAACTTGTTTTGTTCTGTTGCGTGCAATAAAGTATATTATTATTATTATTATTATTATAAAGCTATTTTTAAAATTGAAATAAACTAAAATGTTTGATTAAAATTATAAATAATACTATACAAATCGTTTTAAAAGAATATCAACATATTAATTATAAATTCAATAAAAAGTTTTACTTGCTATGGCTAGAGTTGGTTAACTCGAGAGAGTTAGGCGGTCGCTCTGTTGGATCCATATTGAAGCCCTTACAGCACATTATCCGATTATTTCTGAGAGCGTTTTGTTTGCACTATTTTAATGATTTAAAACTTTAATCACACACAACAATCAAGGTGAAAAGTTATGTGAAATTTAGAACAGGATTAACGGTACCTAATAATAGTACTTGTTTCTTATTCTTATAATGTGATAGTATCTATACTTATAATGTTGTGGATTATCGGTTGTTATATATAAAAAGACGTCTCACGTCAACGAGACGTCTTTTCATTATTTTAAACAAATACATACATAATATAAATAAAGTACACATTAAAAGTGTTTTGACATATCATTTATAATGGTAATCAAGAAAATAAAAAATAAGCGGCATAGATTAATAAATTAGAGTTGCGAAGTGATATCTAGTGGCAAGAGCATCAACTTGATGCGCCGAGTCGACTCAATAGCTCGGGCATTGAGACTCGAGTGATATTTTTTCACCCGAGTTAGAGTTTAAAAAATTCACTCAAGTGACACATTCAACAAGTCGCATCACTACACACTCACTTTATTGTAAGATTGCTCGCCCAAAGGAAAATTGTATATGTCTCTGCCAAAATAATTTTTAAATAATTTACATAATAAGGTATCTATTTTGTGGTTGTGTTAAATGATGGTTGGTTAGAAATATCGGTTACAAATAAACGTGCATTTCCAAGTGTCAAACTATGGGAAACAGACGATCATTTCTGAGCATTGCTAAGTTCAATAGTAGTATTTAATTGCTACCTGTAGATAAAAGAGTAAAGTTAGGACTAAAGATTAATTACACAGTTTATTTTTGTAACTGCACTGGATCTGATGACCTTTACTTTGTTATACGTTAACCAAGGCATATATTTTTCTTATTACTTGTATTTGGTGTTAAGGTGCTACGAGAATGTAAATGCTAGAGAGTTGATAAACTTTTTGCATCCCTTTTACATCCGGCATCAGGACGGTGTGTTTCGGAGGGCACGGTAAGCCTGCATCTGCAGTTGTCAACAGCAATATATAATACCCACCAATCCGCATTGAGAAAATGTAGTGGGTTATGACCCATTTTCCCTGTTCGATTCGATTTGATAATATCTTTATGGAAGGCAAGACTGGTGATGACAGTAAACAATATTTTAATTTCATCTGTCTCTGTCGTTGATTTCTCAAGGCATACATTTTGATTATACTTCTCAAGAATCACCCAACTAGAAATATAATTATTACAAATGGTACGAAGTCATTATTCACACTATTGATTGCTACATATTATTAGTCCAGCAGAGCGATTCCGTAAAACTCCGGAGCCGAATACGAATAAACTCAAGTGCTCGAATTCACTTTAAAAGCGGCATCCGCTTACCTTGAATTGGTATCAACGTTTCGCGACATAAGTGAAGT